GCCCCCCCCCCCCCCGGTAGGGGTGGCAGTGGGGGCAGGTGGCACATTTGTCCCTTGTAAGGGCTGAGAGCGTGGTGTTGCCCTGGCTGATGCCAGGACATCCCAGGAGCAGAGACTCTGTGAGTCACCGTGTTCTGGTGGTTGTGTTAAGTGAACACGCAGTGCTGGGTTGTAATGATACATGAGATAAGTCAGACTCTTGCTTTTTTTTTTTTTTTTTTTAAATCTTAATTTTTTTGTGCTTTTTCTCCTGTTCTCCTTCGCAACAAGCACATTGCCCCACTGTTCATTCGTATGTTCACGGGACCACTCAGTTTAAGCAGCTGAGGGTGCTGGGGTGAAACCCCCTGCGTTGTCCCCGTCCGGTGTGCTCACCTCCCTTTCAGGAAAAAAAAAAAAGCTGCACCATCTTCAGATATTCCTTATTTCCTTTGAAAACTTCTCCGCCCGTCCAGAGCACAGCCTTTTTTTAAGTCAGCGAGTGGTTTAAAGGAGGGAGTTGTTGCAGCTGTCCTAAGAAAGCGGGTATTGAGTTTCTCAGCTGGAAACAAAAGCCCAGGCTGGTCCACCTGTTGCGCGGGGGAATGCTCCGCTCATGCCCATGGTATGTAGGGAAGGAAGGCACTGCGGGGCTAATCGCTCTCCCACTGGGGAAAATCAGAGGGAAGGAATGTTTTTTTTTTAGTCTCGGGTAATGAATGGAATATTTAGTTGATGTTCAAAGCGACAAATACACTCCAGGTAAAACTATGATTGGATGTTTTAATCTCTTAGAAAAAGACCACACCGCTGCATTGAGATGATTGATAAATTGGGCATCAATATGAGTTTTGTGTTCCCTTTTTGTTGCTTTCTGTTCTTTGGTTGGTTGAGTTTTTGAGACCTGGACTACATTTCCACCCTTTTCCATAACAGTCACCTCTGCTAGAGGTTTACCTCTTCCAATCTTTTCCTTTTTTTTTTTTTTTTTTTTTGTTGTCCCCCACCCGAATAAAGTAAAGATTTACACAAACCTATGATTTTAAAGCACATTTTAGGACGAAAGTTATGAGAGCTGACCTCGAGGTGTGGACCTGATGCTCTTGTGGAGAGTGAGGAGGGAAGGGAGTGCAGTCACTGCCGGGGGTCTGGGGTCTCTCCTGGGCTGTGGCCGAGGGACCGGAGGAGCCGCAGGTCCCACCCCAGCTTGAGGCAGGTGGCCACAGGCCTTGGTCCAAGCCAGGGAGGCAAGATAGGGTGAAGCTGTGGTGGGTATCTCACCCTGATAAAGCTCCCCACCATCTTCTCTGGAGCACCAACTGTTTTCCTCAGGCGGGTGTGAGTGGTTTCCATGGGTTTGGGGTTTTTTCCGCCCCTAGAGCGCTGTTCTGAAATGATCCTGTCCCCTTGTGGTGACCTCCATGGGATCCAGGTCCCCAGCAGTGACAGCTGGCCGTTTCCTCTGCTCCCTTGTCTTGCCATTCCCCCACCTTCTGATCTCCTGCCAGCTGGCTGCTCAGGTGCTGCCTTTGCTGCCAGCGGGCTGAGTTATCCCACCGGGCCTTCACCCTGCCCTCCAGAGGTCTCTAAAACCCGAGGGTTTGATTCTTGAGGGTTATTTAGCCCCGTCACACTGCTAATAATTGGTCAGGAAGGAAATTTCTGGAAGGGACAGCAGAGGGGTGGGGGACTCCTGACGTGATGCTTCCCTGTCCCTTTGCGCCGGTGTCAGGAGCTGGTGTGTGTCCCTCATGTGCCATTACGTGGTGCCAGGGCAGGCGCTCATTCTGACTGCTGTTGGGGGAAGCAAATACACAAAAAGTAAAACCTCAGTGGGTTTTCGTTGTGTGGCAGCCAGTATTGCAGCTGAAAAAGTGGTGAAAAGAATTCCCAAGAAGCAATTACTGCAAATAAAACAGGTCTCAAGATTTGGTTATATGACTTCCTGTAAAATAACGTCAATCAAACTTCTACTTGGCAAATTATAGGTTTGGTTTTTTGAGTTTTTTGGGTTTTTTTTTCAGTATACAATCATTAATTCTGATAATTTGGCTTTTAGCTCCTGCCTCACATACCAGTAGGTGGCTTTGGGAAGCAGTGATGTTTTAGGCACTCCCTTTAGAATCGCACCAATTCAGGACACATCTCAGAAATGCAGTTTTTCCACATTCTTCGCAGGACCCAGGAAAGGCTGTGGAAATCATGGATTGATCCACACAGACCTATAGTTTTTAAGACAGTACAATGATATACCCAACCCGATTTGCAAACAGGATTAAAATCAAAATTCTGCACTTCCAAATTTTAATGTTAAGCTTTCCAGTGACCACAATGCATTTTTTAAATTGTGAAAATACAGTATTTTTTTTTAAAAGGCATGGTGAGGCATTTATGAAAATATTGCTAGACTTCCTAAATTACAAAGTGCAGACATCTGAAGTATGAAATGACTCCACCTGCCTCATTGCTCTTACTAACAAGTCCAAAATAATAATTAAAGTATTTGCTCTCGGCAAGGATTTGCATTGCATTAACTTTTCCCACTCCTCCTCAGAATGAACATTAAAGGCAAGGCCTGAAGCTTGTGCTTTCACTGACTAGATTAGGTTAAATATTTTGTAAAACAGGCTTTTTTGTGAGCAGGCTGGATATGAAGTGTGCCTATTTATATCCTCAAATGCTCCCGTTCTGCCTTTTTTTGCCCTCCTTTCTCTCCCTGCTGTTTTTCTGAAGTTACCTGCCCTCAGCCAGCCTTTGAGGAAGGAGCTGGAACACAAGAGTAGCGCTGGAGAGGGCGGTGCATCTGAGACTTAACAACATTTGGGTTTGTTTCCCTTTTTCTGGCCAGGTTTAATAAACATTTTGGGATAGCTGGATTCCCGTGCCGTTGACAGCAGCTGGACCTCCTGAGCTGCTGAAACTGTCAGCCAGGTTCACCTGATAATTCTGCTTTTCCGTGGGCTCTGGGAATGCAGAGTTGATGTTTTTTGGCACAACTCTTGCAGCCAGTGGCAGCTTGGCAAGTCCTCCACGAGCACCTGCCCTCGAGCCTGCAGGGCAAAAGCCAAGGCAGGGGGCCATGTCCCCAGCCTCCAGGGTAGACAGATCCCAGATGTGCTTTTCCAGATGATTTGGCTGAATGCAAAATCCCCCTCCTTAAAACCATGGTGGGGAATAAAGCAGGAATTAAGGAGCTGGACCTCCATTTCTAGGGTGGTGTTTTTACGTTGCCCGTGGCCAGATGGGTCTGCACGTGTGAGCTTCAGCGCAGCCAACGGGACTGGAGTAGGGGTCCTGTTTCAGGAGGAATCAAGTTTCCTGCTTCCCGGGAAGCCCAGAAATAGGAGCTGCTCCTCCAGAAGCCTCCTGTGTGAATCACAGCAGTGACTGACCGTGGGGGCAGGCGATCCAGCATCTTCTTCCAGCCCCCAAGGCACGCCGCTCAGCAGGGAGGCCCTTGTCATGTGGTGGGGAATAAAGCAGGAATTAAGGAGCTGGACCTCCATTTCTAAGGTGGTGTTTTTACGTTGCCCGTGGCCAGATGGGTCTGCACGTGTGAGCTTCAGCGCAGCCAACGGGACTGGAGTAGGGGTCCTGTTTCAGGAGGAATCAAGTTTCCTGCTTCCCGGGAAGCCCAGAAATAGGAGCTGCTCCTCCAGAAGCCTCCTGTGTGAATCACAGCAGTGACTGACCGTGGGGGCAGGCGATCCAGCATCTTCTTCCAGCCCCCAAGGCACACTGCTCAGCAGGGAAGCCCTTGTCACATTGATAAAAATGTGTGAGCTTTGTCCCTCTCACCTGTGTTTTTTTTTTTCCCTTGCGAAAGGGGTTGTTCGCCTTCCAGATGGGATTTGAATTTTCCAGAACTTTCCAGGGTTGCTTTGTAGGGGGGTCGTAGCTGTTCAGCGCTGCTGGCCTGGGAGCGGTGGGGGAGCCTGCCTCCAGCCCCACAGCTGCAGCCTTCAACCCCAAGTCCCCTGGTGGGGACCGGGTCAGTCGCTCTGCTAATTAAGCAGCTGATCATAATTGCCAATTAGCTACAGGACTTCTGCTACGGGGCTGTAGTGCCGTCAGGCTCTGGATATCCAGATTAACCGCAGAGTAGGATAGAACAGCAGTGTCAGTAAAACAAAAGATTTAAGTCTGATGGAATAACTGTCGTCATGGGGTTTTCTCCACATTTGTTTGGTTTTTAAAATTATATTGAGTCTTGAAAAGTGAAGTTAAGATTCGGGAGAAGGTCATGAAATCAGGGTCTGGATCCTAGATAATTAAGAGCTGACTGTACTTCTTAAGCTGATGTTTAAAAAACCACTTCTTGGCAGCTGTACGGGTGAACAGCTATTTTATCACCGAAACATTTTGTTTGGTTCATCCGTGTGCAGGGTAGAGGCTTTCCGTGACGCAGCATCTGCTATGGAACAAGAGAAAGAAATCCTGCTGGAGATGATCCACAACATCCAGAACAGCCAGGATATGAGGCACATCAGTGAAGGTGAGAACCTGCTTTCCCTTCCTCTCTCCTCAAAATCAGAGCAGCCCGTGCCGTAGGGAGCAGCTCCGTTTGCTCGCTCGCTGCCGGTAAAGGTCCGGGCGTTGGAGCTGGCTGCAGTTGCTGGAGAGACACCCGTTACCCTGGGAGCCACCTTCTTCTTGACCACATAAATTCTCATCCTGTTCAGCTGGATGCTCTGCCGTGGAGGGCACTGCTGTTGTCTGGGAAAGCCCATACTCAGTCCACTCAGTTTATTTTCAAAACGAGGGTTAACGTAGCTCAGCTCAGGGAGAGAAGCTGCTGCTGATTAAATATAGTTGAGAAACCAGCATTTTAATGGCATTGACTGCTGGACAGGCACAAGCGCTGCAAAACCTGCAAAACCCTGATGATGAAGATCATTGTTGTGGTTGTGTGATGTATGGCTTTAAATATCATAGAATCACCCAGGCTGGAAGGGACCTCCAAAGGTCATCTAGTCCCACCTCCCCGCAGTCAGCAGGGACACCCCCAACTAGACCAGGTTGCCCAGGGCCTCGTCGAGCCTCACCTTGAATATCTCCAGGGAAGGGGCCTCAACCACCTCCCTGGGCAACCTGTTCCAGTGCTCCACCACCCTCACAGTGAAGAACCCTCTCCTCATCTCCAGTCTCAATCTGCTCCCCTCCAGCTTGAAGCCATTGCCCCTCATCCTGTCACTGCAGGCCTTTCTAAACAGGCTCTCCCCAACCTTCCTGTAGCCCCCCTCAGGTACTGGAAGGCTGCCATTAGGTCTCCCCACAGCCTCCTCTTCTCCAGGCTGAACAAGTATCCTAAATCTGTATGTTTTATATTAGGAGCTTTAAATTGCTGGTCTAGTGGTTCTTCAAGAGCCTACACGTCAAATACGCTGTGTCCGTATTTTAGGGAAAAACCAAAAGCTTTCAAAAAATAGAAAACCAGTTTTTTCGTGGCCCCTAGTTGCATCTGGTAGCCAGAAATCAGTTTTCCCTTTATGGCCTTCTGGGGACAGGCTAAATCTCTCCCTCGTGGTGGCACTGGAGGTCCCCTGTAGCCCCTTCAGGTACTGGAAGGCTGCCATTAGGTCTCCCCGCAGCCTCCTCTTCTCCAGGCTGAACAAGTATCCTAAATCTGTATGTTTTATATTAGGAGCTTTAAATTGCTGGTCTAGTGGTTCTTCAAGAGCCTACACGTTAAATATGCTGTGTCTGTATTTTAGGGAAAAACCAAAAGCTTTCAAAAAATAGAAAACCAGTTTTTTCATGGCCCCTAGTTGCATCTGGTAGCCAGAAATCAGTTTTCCTTTTATGGCCTTCTGGGGATCTCTCCCTCATGGTGGCACTGGAGGCTCTTTACGTGCCTGTTCTGTTAATGAGCAATGTTTTCTGATAATGGTGTGTGCTTTGCTGTGACGTGAGGCAGGAAGCGTTGTGTCAGCAGCGGAAAAGCACCGCTGACAGTTTTAGAGGAGCTTAATCCCTCCTTTCAAATCAGAAGACGCCAGCTCCTGTGAAATAAGTAGGACTTGGGCAAATGCAACAAACTCGTGTGAAATAAGTAGGACTTGGGCAAATGCAAAAAAAACTCATTTCTGGCTCTTGGCAATCTTGTTGATTGTCACTTACTCCAAAAACCAACCTTGTTTATTGCAAAGTTGTAGCAGTTCGATTGTCTCGATGACACCTGTCACTTAGAATACTTTCTTGGTTTTGATTTAGGTGAAAGAGAAGAACTCAATTTGACTGCCAACCGTCTGATGGGCCGAACCCTCACTGTGGAGGTTTCTGTAGAGACCATCCGCAACGCCCAGCAGCAGGAGTCCCTCCAGCACGCCACCAAGATGATCGACGAGATTGTCAATAAACTTCTGGATGATTTGGAAGACGCCAAAATCCGCTTAATGTCGCTTTATGGCGCGTGCACGTCGGACGTGCCGGCGGGACCCATCGATCAGAAATTTCAGTCCGTGGTAATCGGCTGTGCCATCGAGGATCAGAAGAAGATCAAAAGGCGGCTAGAGACTCTGCTCAGAAACTTAGAGAATTCGGAAAAGTCCATCACGTTGTTGGAGCATCAGAAAACCTCCGTTCGACAGTCTTGCAACAGCAAACAGGATTAACCTCTCCTCCTGGCTACTCCTGGCAAACCGCAGGATGAGCAAACCTCCCTGAAAAGCACACAGAAGCTAAGAAGAAAAAGAAAAAAACAAGTCTCTGTACAAGCACACGCGTGTAGGCGAACGCAGGCGCACCCAAGTGTCTCTGATTGCGAGGTGCAAGCATTTAGTGGGTTTTGGTAGCCTTGGCATTTTCTTTCAGCAATAAGGAACGCTGGCAGGAGTCCTCCTGTAGAGTCCATCCTGCTCTATTGCAAATTGTAACCGTGCTTCTGCTGAACTCTCAGACACCCGCAAAATCTTAAGCCTTTCCTCCATTCTCCTGGGGTGTTGTTTTGTTTTTTTTTTTTAAACTAAAGCTGTTTTGTCAGGTAGTGAGATTTCAGCTTTTCTCTGCTGTATCCCTAGCGCGTGAACCAGGCCTTCTGGGGACAAAAGACAAAGCGTGGCAATAAAAGGAAAACATTAATAAACCGCATATTTTCATAAACAACACACTGTCCAACTCATTACCATTTTTAATCACTTGGCACTATTTGTAAGCAGATCACGATACTGGCAAGAAACAAGATGGATACCTTCAGGTCACGGCTGAGGACGTGGAGAGCAACCAGCCCATCTGAAGGTGACAACCCAGGCTAGAAAGGAGCTCTCAGGATGTCCCCTCCCATGACCCACCCTGCCTCTCCCAGCTACCTGTAAGTTTGAGGTTGCTGTGTATGCTTTTTTTTTCCAAAGATCATATTAATAAAGGGGAATTGTATTTTTTCAGCTGCTGCTCTGCAGATTTGTGTTAGGTCATCATCTGTGACGCAACAGAGCGGGACAGTTGGATTCTCAACTGGCAGGTACTGTAGTTGTCTCCTGTGGAGGATGATACTACGCTTTTTCAGTTTAACATCACTTACTCTTTGGGTGATTTTTTTAATTTTTATTTTTTTTCCTGCCACCCTCTAACTCCCTCTACTTTCTGCTCCTCATCGCCACACTCTTTGGCCATGGGTCAAAAGTTGCAGATTCTAGGGTGAGCCTGGAATTTTACATCCCCTCTCCACACAGCCCAGCAGGGAGCAGGCTGCAGGCTCCTTGCGAGCTTTAACAAGAAAAGTACAACTTCTGGCTATTTAACAGCATTAAACCCCCCGACAGTAACACGCAGCAGAGGTTGTTTTCAGGAATCACACTGTGAAATAAATATTGAAGTTAAACATAGCCCATCGATGCTTAGAGTATTCTTTTTAAGGCCATTATAAGGTTATTCAGGCCAGAAGTGTTAAGGTTTGGGTTGGTTTTTTTTTTCCTTTTTAGATCCTCTTCACTGTATCAATAGTTAAAAGTATTTTTATTTTTTACAGCACTTTTACTAGTACAGTGCAAGTGTGCCTTTGTTCCAAAGACAAAACGAAGCGATCAAAATCTGGATGTCAACAGCTGAGTTAATAGTGTAGATTCAACTTATTTTGGCTTAAGTTACTGGGTTTTATTTTAAGTTCTTTCTTCTGTCTGCCTGCCTTCTACTTTCTTAAACCCTGTGTCAGCACAGGGGGGCTGCAGGACCCTCTCCTGGGCTGCACAATTCCATACTGACACGCTGCAGCTATTAAAGAACCCACAGATCTGAACAATTTCATTTTAGAACCCAGTGATTCTGTTTTTAAAGTGTCTTCCACAGCCTTACCTGCAAGTCCCAGCAAGAGACTTCCACTAAGCCTTTTACTCCAGTTTCATACTGGCTATTTGTCTTACACATTTGTCACTGTTAAAGCTCGTTGGCATCGTACGCGTGACAGAGATCAACAAAAGCACAGATTAGAGTTTTTCGCTTTTTTTAAGCGCTCTCTGTTGTCTGAAGTCCCAACCCTGACAGCTGGGACAGAGAAGGTATATTTTAATGCCATTTGCAACATCCACGAACGTTCACTTAAACCTCCTCACTGCATCAGCCAGACCAACCACGACAAATGCAACGCCCAGGAAGAGCAGGACAGAATCCCTACTTTGGATCTGAAGCCTGTGGCGGAGAAATTGGAGCCTGGAGCTGAGGAACAGCGTTTCTGCGACCTGGGGGTGCCACACTTGTTCCTGGGAGGGCATCTCAAGGCCAGCTGGCTGCCTTGGATCCCAACTGCTGGCCACACAGGGGCTGGAATCGGGCACGTGAGTTTCCGGAGCAGATCCAGGGTTATAGCAATTGTTTTTGGGAATTTAACACACCACCAATTTAACAGAACCACAGGACCAGTGACAGTAAGGCCATGGACGTATTTAAATTGCACACTACAACTCACATCATTTACGAGAGAAGAGCAAAATGAACTCATAGGGATGTTACAGGAACAGCATACACACAATATCCAGTTTTAAACATTTATTTTTCCACTTGAGGATTTACTGTAAGTTGACTTTTTTTTTTTCTAAAAATATATTACATTTACTTGAGAACACAACGGTGATAAAAACAGCTCTGTACATTATCTGCTTTAACCATTCAGATCCACGGGAACTTGCAAAAAAGAGTCAGTAAGTCATTTATTAGTAACGATGCATCTTAATCCTCACAACGAGAGGGGTGTTTCTCCTGGTCCACATTAATATTTACTTTTTCTTTTTCTTTTGATCAACTTGAGTGGGTTCTTTATCTCAGCAGCAGCAGAAAGAACACTCATCCCACAAATTATTTATGGGTATCACCCTGCTACTAGAAACCTGAGAGCAAGTCTCACTGGGTACCAGCACATCACACACAACACTTCTTCCCTGTGCAACTGTTTGAAATTTTCTCTTTGTCTATTATAGCACCTTTCATCTTAAACCTAAACGATGCTGCAGTTTTTCTTCTATCATTTTAATTACCTATTAGGGTGCTATATTTAACAGCGAGAAGTATTCCGTCGGAATACTGCAGTTTTTCTTCTATTATTTTAATTACCTACTAGGGTGCCATATTTAACAGCGAGAAGTATTCCATCGGAATGCAAGAGGCGGGTCTGTCACTCTGCTGGAGGACCGGACGCTTAACAAGCACACAACACTTCTTCCCTGCGCAACTGTTTGAAATTTTCTCTTTGTCTATTATAGCACCTTTCATCTTAAACCTAAACGATGCTGCAGTTTTTCTTCTATTATTTTAATTACCTACTAGGGTGCCATATTTAACAGCGAGAAGTATTCCATCGGAATGCAAGAGGCGGGTCTGTCACTCTGCTGGAGGACCGGACGCTTAACAAGAGGGTTCTGCAGTGCAAATAATTAATTCTGTTATTAACTGGTAGCAATCAATCAGCTTGAATTAACAGGTTCAAAGTGCACGGTCACCCAGTGCTGTGCACGTACCCCTGCGCGACCTGCAGGCAGCTGCTCAGTTCCCTGCAGTACAACGTGCACCTACACAAGCACAGCGAAGGAAAAGGTGTCAGATGATACGCTGCAGCCCAGTAACGCAGAGGGAAAAAAAAGACTAATTTTACTGAAGCATAAAAAAATCAAACAGGGAATTAGACTGAGAGTATGGTAATCGGGCATTTTGACTCAAAAATGTAAGCACTGCCTTAATTCCAAAGCAGTCTTATGTGGAATATTCCTTTTTTTTTTTTTTTAAATTAACCACAGACACACAGGCACACAAGTCTGAGTGTGCTCAGTCCCACAACTTTGAGATTTGTTATTTCCAGTGGGAAATCCATCCCCAGCGTTAGTGCTTCGCATCAGACGGTGCCCCACGTGGCAGGAGAGAAGGGCCATTCACTGAATGGATACAACGGGGGAGCCACACATGCTTTGTCATACTCTTTAGGGAACCCTTCTTTCACCAAGGCATTAACCACAACCCAAATTTTCTGCTAGTGGTAGCACTGTCAGCTGAAAGCAAAGCATCCTTGGCAAGATTGAGATAATACACCCCTCAAGCCGTTGGGGAGACGTTAACAGACAAAAGAGGGGTGCAATTAGCTCAGTCTCACAGAGCAACAGTCCTGTCTGTTCAGCAACAGTCCTCCCAATTCGGGCAGCCGGTGTAACAGCTACACCCTCTTCCACCACGCAGTCACACGGGGGCACAGAGCAGCTCTGCACCTGTAGGTTTCGGGAACTAAAATATATGATATTTTAATGAGAATGGGGCAGTGTTTATAATAATAATTATTCCCAGGGGACAGTGCGAGGGCTAAAATGTTTAGGCACGTCTCTTCACCCAAAAAGCGCAAGTTACTCCTGCTGAGTAGCGACGTGGATACCTAAAGGATTCCCTCAGTGTGCAAATCACCTGGTTTACCTCTACACACTAACCCCAGCAGGATAAAAATTCCATTTTCAAGCAGCGTCGCATGCAGAGCACTTCCAGAAAAAGGCCGAGGTGGACAGCTCCGTCCGGAGAACACGCACCGCAACGTCACGGGGAAGAGCGAGCCACTTTGGGTCAAAATCAACACTGTCATGCAATGCTGCAAACACCTACTCCTACATTAAAGTACCTGTACTAGATTTCAACGTATCCTAAATTTAGCAAGTCTGTCAAGTCTCCACCTAAGAACGTTTCTACTGAGTTTTCAGTCCTTAAAACAGCGGTTTGTAATGACAAGACGTTGGATGCAAATGGCTTGTGTGATAATGTCTACATTATTACATGTCATAGTACAAATGGTCATTATACGGAATAAAGACTTATTTTTCAGTCCTCTGTACAAAATCAAACAAGGCAAAAAAAAAAAAGATGTTTCAGACACTTTGTGGTTTTTGTTTCGAGAAGAATGAATACAAAACGTTACACCCGCAGGCAGACAACAAAAGGTGAAAGTTTCCATCTTAAAAACAGTTGTCAAAATTCTTCATGCACACACTCCGTCCTACCTCCTGAAGCTGAAGGTGACCCCCCGTGACGCACAATCCTAAGCCTTATCCTAAGTACCTTACTTCTGAAATTGCTGAGACGGATAGGACTCGACTCCATTTATCCATCCATCCATCCATCCAGTGATTAAATGCACTTGTTCAAAAAGAAAGGCCTTTATCCAAGAGAAAAGACAGGAAACGTTATGGTGAAGAACACACAGTTTCCAACAGCAAAGGGGATGGAGCGCCTTGAAGGCCACCTTCTCGCCAGCAACAGGAGATGCTCTACCAGCTTTGCCAAAGAAAGTCTAACACAGTAAACAACACGAAATACAGAGTTCACAGAGCTTTAGTGTTTGTGCATAACTTGCCACCCACTTCTCTCCCTGCAGACAGGGGGGGAAAAAAACAAGAGTCCATTTCAGTTTTCATACTCATTGACTTAGAAACAAAGTCAGTCAAGCTTCCTACAGGAATTCACACAGTGAAAAGTCCTTCCTCCAAAAATATACAGGATCACTCAGCTCATTTTCATTCTCACGCACCACTTAAAAAACTATTAAAACTCTGAATTTTTTTCAAGCAGCATATTTTGCATTTGTCACCGGCAGGTTTGTCGTAGAAATCCTAGAAAGTTAAAATTATATCATACCATACAAAAACATGTAAACAAAATGGATATTTTTTTAAAGGCATGCATGCTCTCGAAGAGGATTAAAAAGTGTTTATTTTTGGTAAAGAAAAGATACCTTGCTCAGCATTTTTAAAAGCACCTTAGTGATTTAGGAGCCTAAGCCCAAATAACTTTTAATTTAGATTTGGGCTCCTAAACATCTACATCAATTCTGTAAAATTACTTAAGCACTTGGAAAAATTTTTGCCGTGTCTCTGGATCTTGCAGAATTAGGTTTTCTGTAAGCAGCAGCTAACTTGGAGAGAACACTCAAGAATGTCTCATTAAGGTAACTCAGTCATCAGCTGCAGTTTTTTTGGATCCTCCATAACTTAGTTTATGGTATCGATGAAAAAGTTTTTCCAAAGAAGATAAGTATTTTGTGACACCACTCCACGAGTTCCTTTTCCATAGACAACACAGGATACAACGATCAAATCTGAACAGGAGTAGGATTTTATGTTCCCTCTGAATAACTACTAGCGTCAAAGACTGTGTTACTTTTCCACCTGTTAAGACTGAGAAAAACAAACTTACAAAAAACATCTGTAGCACAGCATTAGGTAAAAATAAGGAGCATTTTTGGCACCATACATTTTTAAATCTAAGCTTTTGGGCCCAAAGTATAGCAAGTTAAACGTCCCAGTGGCAGCTGGGAAAGCCTTATCTGAAATGTGACATTCTTAAAGGAATTATTTGTTTTTTTGGAAGATGTTATTTTGTGATCGTTAGCCGATCTCCAAGTAACGTAGACAGTGGAATTCAGTCTAAATATTCCTGCCAAATGTTTACACCTTAGTGCTCATATACACAACACAAGTATATTGCACTGACACAACGGCCAAAATCCACATTAATACAGTCAGGCATGAAACGTAGTGTCTTCTTTTTGCTCTTTCTTTACCTTCTTAGTGTCCTGACCAACCAGCCCTAACATCTGCTTTGAAATTGAGTTGCCAGGTTGCTACTTTACCTTGGGCCATAGCGTTACGGGGTCTGTACCTATACTTGTGAGTATTATCCTTAGGGTAAATGTGCTTTGCAATTCAGCAATACCTAGTTCATAGCTCGGTAAATAATTCCTTGAAAAAGGAGAAGCTTGCCTAATTTTTATGAAGTGCACAGTGGGGGGGGGGGCAGCCACGATTTTGGGTTTTGCCAGCAGGTGTCTCACTCCACACACCAAAAAAAACCCATCGTGCCGGCAAATTTATGTAATAATGCACGGGGGGGGGGGGGGGCAGCCACGATTTTGTGTTTTGCCAGCAGGTGTCTCACTCCACACACCAAAAAAAACCCATCGTGCCGGCAAATTTATGTAATAATCCACCCTCTGTCACAAGATTTGCTCAAGCACTGGTAAAAATACCTCTAGGGGTGGCTTTATTCGGGAACTCAATTGCACAACTTCATCCAATCCACCGGGGGGGTTTCCTCCTCCACCGAGAGCAGACTAAGGGACGCTGCAGCTGCTGAAAGGGCTTCTGCTTTTCTTGGTCCTCTGCTTGTTTGGTCTGAGGTTGACGACGTCTCCGCCGTTAAGAGTGCTACAATTCTGGTTGGAGTGACTTCCACCAGCTGTGTTAAAAACACCTGCAGGATTTCAAGACAAGAAAAGCATTTGTATCCCTTTTACTTCTTGCACAATAGGTTAAGACACAACACTTCCACAGCAATGCACATTCCTCTTACTTTTTAAAGGCTTTACCTATTTCTGGGTCAATTTTGCAGCTAAACTGGAAGTAGAGCCAGCTGGAATTACTAGCTAGGAAGTATTTAAAGCTGATATATATCTATGTAATTGAAAGGCAGCATGTGCACTCATCTGCCTATGTGTACGCCACTAATTGCACGGTAACAAAAGTTATGGTTAGTTGAGTAATATGATGAAAGAAAAACAGAAGAATTTTAAAGTTTGCTGAGAAAAAGGAAGAAGCCTGATTAAAAAGGGAGTGTTTTAAGGAAAATAAATGAACTGACTCAGAAAGGCTTTAAAGAAGGACTACAGAAGTTCAGAGATCCCTTACAAAAGGCAGTTTACAAAGGCCGCCCGATTACGCGCCAGATTCTATCACTTGTAAATCCGCACCACGATGAGTAACACAAATACTAATTACATTTAAAAACCCAACGAGCATCCTTTCTCAAGTCCTTATACAACGTTTGCTTAAACAAATTTAATAACAAGGTGCTTGCCAAACATTAGCTAGAAGCTTTAGTACATCAGTTTGACAGCTCTGATGGCACAAAAGACTTTCTGGTTGTTTATTAACATATACGTACCGATCTTGTTACTGCTCGTGTGCGCTAGTTCTGGATCTTCCACCGTTTGTTGCTTCAGCCTTTGAAGGTATTTATCAGCCAAATATTTAAAAACTGCAATGTTAAAAAGAAAAAAGGTACATCAGAGCATGGTTAAAAATAATCCTCATATCAATTATAACACCTGCATATCAAAATTCTGTGTGGTGACAAAAGTGCATTCGACATCACAGGTTTAGCACGACTTTAGCACCAATCTACCTAGGATTTTGGAAAAATCTACAACTATAGGGCAATTTTCAGAACCCTGTATATGTTACGATTATTTAAAACTGTAATTAATAGCTCATGTAAAGACAATACAAGAACATTTTGCGTTTTCTCTCGCAGATCTTTTTTCCAAGGTGAATGATGATAACAGAGGAGAAGCAATTAGTTTACTATTAAGTTGGCCTGATTAAACAAAAAAATTAGTTATCAGAGACTACAATTCATTATTATTCAAACCTACCCCACAAAAGACAGTGAATTAATTTTATAAGAGTAGTCCTATGAAATTAAATATCAACATTAAAAAGTGGTACTTGGGTAGTAGTAAAATATCACCAGTAGACAACAGGCTGCAAGAGACCCAATCTTTTAATGTACTTTATTTAACTGTGAAATAATCGTTTGTATCAATTATTAGTTATTAATAATTAACAAAATTATCTGTCTTACAGTTTGTATATTGTAATAATTGAACTGCTACATAGAATTTATTTTCAGTGCTTGCTGATAGTGGTTAGGAGTAAGCAGCCCTAACACACTGGCGCCTCTAAATGCTGAAGCTACGGACTGTTTGTGAAGAGAAAGGGAAGATGTACGCAAAGAAATGGCAATATCAAATAATTCTAGCTACGATTAAAGCGTGCTGCTAAGAAATACCAAAAGGGCTGCCCACAGCATGCAACACCACGGGAAGTAAGAGATGAGCTCCAGAGCAGAGGCGTATGGCAGAGGGCAGGACTGACATCTCCTACCTTCAGTCACGTTCAGGTCTTCCTTCACAGATGTCCGGTAGAACCTTAATTTTAGCTTTTTTGCCAGTGCTTCTGCCTCCTCACTGCACAAAAGAAGAAGAATTGGTATATACCGATTTGTGCAATTTGCCAGCGTTTATTCTTAACAGACAAAATGGCTTTGTGGTGAGCTAAACCACAAAGGTGGGTTAAGAAACTCAGGCAGTCAAAAAATAACTGATCCCTAATTTCATGGAATCACATGGGGTTGGAAGGGACCTCTGGAGATCATCTAGTCCAACCCCCTGCCAACGCAGGTCCACCCAGAGCAGGTCCCACAGGAACATGTCCAGGTGGGTTTGAATGTCTCCAGAGAAGGAGACTCCACCACCTCCCTGGGCAGCCTCTGCCAGGGCTCTGCTGCCCTCACAGGAAAGAAGTTCCTCCTCATGTTTAGATGGAACTTCTTTATATTCAAGAAGGTATTTTACATGCAGTTTCTTCATGACCAAAAATGGGTGCTTTTCAATATTTATTGACTTCATTAACTAACATTTCCCAGGGTTTGAAGACAGGCGTCAGTGAACCCAAAAGGAAGGGGTGTGTAATTAACAGCACTAGAATCAGCACAATTACTGCTGCAAAGTCAAAATAACAACTAAAAAGCAATCCTTAAGTATATTTTAACAAAGCGGTACACTATGCAATCACATGAGTGCAGATGAAATCAAGAATTACTTTTTTTCCTGTGAAGTGAAAGAGAGCTTATACTAAATTTTAAGGAAAAGCTGAGGAAAACTTATGAAAAATTCCCCAAGGCAAATCACGCCATCAGAAAGACGACGGTGCTGAGGCAGACGGAGTGTTCTGAGAACAAAACCTAAGTGACATACCATGAATAAAGGAGGAGTTCAAATGCAATTTTGCTTTTCCTTTGAAAAATCCTCAGTAGTCTTTGCAGAGGGAGCAGAAGCTGATTTATGGCATCAATGAGAGCAAACAGAGAACAAAGAAAGCCAGCGCAGGAAACAACAAAAAGAAGAAACAATTTAAATCTCTCAGGAAGATGGGAGAAATAAAGAAGTGGAAAATGATCCAATTCATCATGCAGTGTTTTCTACATGAAGTGCTGCGGTAACTAAAAGTTAGCATTTGTTAAGCTGATTTTATGGAAAGAATGAAATCGGTCGTAGATACACAGGCACAATGAACAGAGAGTAGAAAGTGTAGAGAAAAATCCACTGCAGAAGGATCAGCACCATGCAGATTGAGAATATTAACAGATAAGGATTTCTATACAGTTACGATGCTTTGATAACAATGAGCAATAAAAAGAAGTTGAAGAAAAGCAAAGCAAAAAATATTAAGATACTTTTTCAAGCAACCTGTTTAATACTCCTACTTCATTTTAGCTAGCATTCACTCCCCACACTGGACAGTGGAACTTCATTGACAGTTTGCAGTTTTACAGTTCCAATTTACAGTTTTAGGAGTTCCAATTGAAAAAAAACAAAAAGCAAGAATTGTATCAGGGCAAAACCAAACTCTTTGTGCTATTCCTCTTTTTTTTTTTTTTTAAGGCTGTTACTTCTGAAGGCTTGAAGCAAAGAGGAAGCTCTGAGCTTGGCAAGCACACCTGCCCGAGTAACGATGCTCATGGCCTGTCACCTGTGCTTTTAGGGCACGTTTTGGTGCAGGGCACAAGTCTGACAATCCACACATCCTAAGTCTTCTCCAGAAACTCCCACAGATGTTTTTTAAAATGCATATAAACGGGGGGCATACGTTATTCTTCACAAACGGTAAGATAAAACTCCTACTTCTTTATACAAGAGTCATCAAGAAGATCAATCTTATTCTGCACAAGAACTGTGGGAATGTCTCCAACTTCGTTCACGACCTTCTCCTTCCAGGTGGGGATTGCTTTGAAGGACTCTCTGTCCGTCGTAGAAAACACCAGAACACAAGCCTGGGCTCCTAAAAACATACAAATGGATTACAAAGAGAAATAAATGCAAAACAACAAACAAATATTTAAAGAAAAAAAAAAGAAATAAATGCAAAACAACAAACAAATATTTTAAAAAAATAACGGTAAGATAAAACTCCTACTTCTTTATACAAGAGTCATCAAGAAGATCAATCTTATTCTGCACAAGAACTGTGGGAATGTCTCCAACTTCGTTCACGACCTTCTCCTTCCAGGTGGGGATTGCTTTGAAGGACTCTCTGTCCGTCGTAGAAAACACCAGAACACAAGCCTGGGCTCCTAAAAACGTACAAATGGATTACAAAGAGAAATAAATGCAAAACAACAAACAAATATTTAAAGAAAAAAAAAAAAAAGAATCAGATGTAATGTATTTCAAATATGAGGGATTTGTCAGGTTTCTTCCATAAAAGTGCACTTTTACCACCAGCTTGTGTCAAACCAAGGGTCACAATGTCCCCAGATGAAAATAGATTTCCAGATTATTTTGATCATTATCCCTGTTCTTCATGATGGCTACGGGGCTGTTACCTTTCAAACTACTTCCAGCACGGGGCTGGGGAAAGGAACAGGAGAGGGTGTGTGAAGGCTGGAACAAAGGAAAGGGATGTTGGCTTACGGCTCCCTGTTTTCCAGACAGCTTAAGGGAGGCCAGAAAGCAAATACTTTTCCGTATGCACTATTCTTTGTGCTCCAGTAGTTTGGATTTTGAAAAGCAGAAAACTTCAAAGCTTTCAGAGAAAGCCACAATTATTTCAAGTAAATGGTTTAGTAGCTTTTTGGAGAAAATAAGCGTATTTTTAATTCATACTCATTCTTTCACAGCCCTATGATAAATTATAAGAAATGTTTTGTGCCACCTTTGTCATGGTTTTGTAACAGCGTTGGCAAATGAGTTAAAACCCACAAATACTAAGATGGTTTAGTAGCTTTTTGGAGAAAATAAGCATATTTTTAATTCATACTCGTTCTTTCACAGCACTATGATAAATTATACGAAATGTTTTGTACCACCTCTGTTATGGTTTTGTAACAGCGTTGGCAAACAAGAGTTAAAACCCACGAATACTAAGGTACTTCCATTCTTGAAATATTAGCAAGTGGTCTTTTGACTGCCCAGCAGCCCTTTGTTATCCTCAAGAAACCACTCTTCTTTGCATATAAACACATGGAGAAACACTTTATATGCCTTTAATATACTTGATATTTACTAAGCGAGTGTAAGAGGAATAGCTAGCTAATGTCTTTGAGACTTGGATGTTATCTTGTGGCAAATATCCCAGTCAAATTACATAGAGCACAAAAAATGTTTCATCAATATGAATTTTCTTTTATCTGTGAGTTTCACCAACTATCTCCCATTCCTGTACTCGTCTTTGTATTTATGAACACAAAGCACTTGAGTTCTTTTATTAGGTTTCCTTTTATTTATCTTTTCACAGCTAGGTTCAATCTCTCTTTACCAAGGTTTTCCTATGCTCTTTAACGCTCTTTGGCAAGCCATTAAGACCCCTTTGATATGGTTTTATACAGAATAATAAGAGCAACTGCCCTCAGAATTTCAAATCAAGTTCTACCAATACACAGCAGCAATGTGGTCTTCCATAACTTTCCCTATTACTCATGTTCTAAAATTTTGTTTGTTTTCCCTAGCAGCCACACCATATTCTGATACATGCAATTCTTCCACTTTGAATCCTGTGAGACAGGTGTAAAATTAATTATTCTTTCCAAAGCAGGTAACTTTGCACTTGTCAACGCTGAATTTAACCTCCCATCTCGCAGTCTAGCTCAATCGAGCCTCTCACGTTCTTTGAGACTATTTATTAAAAGACTCTCTCCATCTGTAAACATCATCTTGTTTAGTTTTAAGACTTAAGAAATCCATTGTGAAGTGTCCACTCTAAAGCACGTCATCTCTCTCCTTCCACCCACTCCTTCTGAATGCTAAAACGTGGACATAACTGATAATAGTTAAGTTTAGAGGGAAAAGTCCTAGCATGTGGTAAGTAAAAACATGGTGACTTATAACATCAGACCTTACCTAATTAGATATAACAACATGGAACACGGTGAACAAGAACAGTAAAAATCACTCAGCCATATTGCTTTTTAAAGAGAATTACACAACAGCCTCTAATTAGGAATCAAACCGCAGAAGATGCTACAGGGCAGAGATCTTACTAGGTAAATTCTTTTCATCTTTTAAGAATGTTGCTAAATACTCAATAGTTTTATTGAGAACATAAACCAAAAACCTAATAAGGGGCTAGTGAAGATACCAGTGGTAGAGGATGGAAGAGGATGCTTTGCTTCACAAAGAAGTGATCAAATACTCCTTTGAGAAACATCCCTAACACGGACAGAATGGGTGGTGCTGCGAACGACAGCCACCCCTGCAACCAGTGGTAGAGGATGGAAGAGAATGCTTTGCTTCACAAAGAAGTGATCAAACACTCCTTTGAGAAACATCCCTAACATGGACTGAACATGGGCTTAGCACAGAAATGAAGCCCCTGGCCCATTAGAAAACGTGTGACTCCCATCAGATAGAAACTGAGGAGACACATGAAGCCCCTGGCCCATTAGAAAACGTGTGACTTCCATCAGATAGAAACTGGTGAGACACATGATACAATATAAACAACAAATGATTAAATACATCCAGAGCTTCCTTCAACTCTCTGAATTCAGGCTGCTGGACTCCCCGTGTTGGATGACCACGGGCACGCAGCTCCACTGGCTGCACGTATTTGCCTGTCCACAGAAAGCCAGGTGCCAAATCCACTGCCAGCTTGAATTTTGTGTCTCTGCAAGGCTGCATGACTTTGGTCTCTGGAGAAGAAGGGCTCAGAAAGCTTTCACTGCATGAGCAGGGATGAGCTGCTGATCCCTGAAGAACTGACAACACATAAGGTTCCAGGAGAACGCGTAAGCCCTAGTGACAGTGGGACAGTGACCTGTGGCAGAGGCAGACCTTGAAGAAACAGCCAGCATCTCTCTAACCTACCTCAGAAGTGCCCTCCCCTTATCTCCAATAATCAGCAATGAAATCCTCACATTTCCAAAGTAAGCTTGACCTTTTGCTTCTGTAACATCGTGCTTGCAGACCTGATGCTAAACCAAAATTGCACTCCAGGCTCTTACCATTTCCCTTGGCCTTCATGAGTCAAAGTCTAGTGCAGACCAGTCACCACACCTAATAGCTTGAACTGCTAATGCATCCATCAAGCTGTCTGCAACGGGTATCCACAGGATGACTACGTCCTATTTCACAGCAGCCTCTCAGGGTTCTGAAGGTAGGGATCTAACTGCACCATGCTGGGCCTGAATCACCAGCAAGACTTCAAGACACTCAAGATACACAGTAAGTGAGGGCAGTAAGCATACTTTAAAGTTCTTCTGAACACTCCGTGTTTCAGAATATCAGTCCCAGTGATTACAAGAAAAAGACTTTGGCTTGGAATAATTGAGGAGAGCAAAGCACGCAAGAGAACCCAAGGCCACGAGAGTAAAACAGAAGCTCCAAGAGAATTAAGTACTACCTTCTACAATTCATATGCTCAATTTGTCAGCTGTAAAGTAACAGAACGATCAATTTCCACAAGAGGATCAAAAGAAGTAGGAAAAAAAACCCCTATCTTTCTCTGAAGAAATCGTAATCATCAATTACAAGTGACAACCAGAAATATCACAAAAAAACCCATTAGTTGCCAGATATAAAAAGGTCAGAGGACTGTACCACCCTATAACAGCATGGCACAACTATTATTTTATCTCTAAATGAGGTCATTTTTCTAAGGTTTTCTACCGTAATGATATATTTTTCCCAGACATCAGGTAATTAAGTTTGACAAGAACTAGTGATGGAATCTTTGCCAAGTCATTTATCTCTCTCATGTTAAAAAACAAAAAGGACAGATTTTCATAACCGTTGCTAAATTACATGCAAAGAAAGCCTAATTATGCGATTGGTAACTGGCTAAGTAGATAACCTTCCTTTATATGACTGAATAATATAGTTTCTATCGTATGAAGCACATACTCTTTCCTTCCTGTTGTGTTAACACGCTGAAGGCAGTCCGTACGAGCCAGAGAACTCTTGTGCCTGGTAAACTAGCTTTCTAGGAAAATTGGTGGGCTTTTTTTTTCCCCCTTGGATTAATTTCTAAGTGCCTCAGCAACAGTTTTTGGAACATTTACAAATACACATCTTACAGAAGTAAGAAAACACTTTTCGAGGGGAAAAATAAAATTTTGCATTTGATTTTCTGAATGGCTAAACTCTGTGAAGTTTCTGCACAGATATCGGTCTCATTTCGTTCTGTTTTTCAAAGGGCACCGCTGAGCATCCTGCATAAAGTGATGCTTAATTAAGGCAAGGATCTTACATGAAGGGGAAAAACATTTAAGACCTGGAAAAGGTAAATTAAACATGCTTTACACACACACAAAATAACTAAAATTCTTAATAGAGAGATAGGAAAATATCTTAGAAATGTGCAGACAGAAAAAAACAACTGCCAAATAACAAACATGGTATTTTCACCTCTATAGTAGGCTTTAGTTATTGCATCAAACTCCTCTTGACCCGCAGTGTCCCATAGCATTAGTCTGACATCTTCATCGTTAACTCTGAAATAAATGACAGTTTTGTAATCAATAGAACAAACGAGAGCAATTCAAACCAACGGACATGGAAATCCTTCTCTGTCTACAATACGAGAGTAATTCAGTTCAAATTTAACTTCATTTAAATATAACATAGTTCAATATTGGTAATGGTTCACCTCTGTGACACGCTATGGCAGTAGTCCCTCAGTTACGTTACGTGCCCTTTCCCAACCATCCACATTACATCTTCCTCTTCCTCTACATTTCCCTCTGAGGAAAAATACAGACTTCAAAACAAAACTCAGCTGTCTGAATAATGGCCCTTCTGTCTTTTTAATCAGCTTACAAATTTAGAGAATTTTCTCACTTCTCATTCCCGTAGTATTTTCCATTTTAGCAAACATAATTGGGTATTACCTATTTATATTACACAGACTAAATCTATGGCATTTTTTTTTTTTTCCTGTCATTCTAGTCTATATTGGCTAATAAATTTGTGCCATTATCATAAGCACTTCCCTTTCCTCCACATGAAATAAAAAAAAATTAAAAAATTAAAATCAACGGGTGGTAGAATACAAAGGAAACTTGTCAAAAATCTTAGCACGACAGAGGTTCCAAATTTTATTTTGCTTTTCGTTTATAATTCTAAGTCTTGGATGGGAAACAGAGTGATATCATTTTAGCCCACTGTGCAAGAGAGAAAGCAACTCCCTTTACTGTGTTTTGGAGACAGCAGGCCTTCTGTTTCAAGCCTTTGTAAATCACAGATTACAGCAGAACAAAGAAATAGAGGGAAAGGTAAAAACCAAGAGTATGGCAGCTGTTTCACACGTACTGGATCTGTCGTTCCAGGAAATCCACACCAATAGTCTTCTTGTAGTCTTTTGTAAAGATGCCCTTGCAGTATCGCTGAATCATACTGGACTTCCCAACGGCTCCGTTCCCTACCACCACCACCTTGATGGCCACCTCCATATCTTCTTCCAACATCTCTGCAGCCCAAGTGACTCCGGCTTATTCAGGAAACTATTGATTCTGTAAACAAAGTAAAGAGCTACGTTCATTAAAATGCTGTAAAAAGGAAGCAAGAGGAAAAGTGATCACACACGAGGACTCACAGAGTCAGTACCGTTTATTTCCATCACTGCCACAAACTCCTTAACCGACCTCGGGCGAGTTATTTAACCAGTCTGTACTTTGGCTTGCCACTTATTAATTGGCAAATTATGTAATACTATTGTCATATGTTGATTATGTTCCTGAAGCTCCGCTGCTAACAGAGAAGATGCTCAAAGGATCAACCCAGCCTGGAGCACGGCAGCTTCTAACTTCAGCCACTGTTCTCTATACCCAGTTCAGGTGTTGTCACCCAACACCAACACCCATGCTCTGACACCATAAACCTGTATCATTCTGTGATTGTACCCCTTATCCAGTCCTTATGAACTGGTCTACGTTTGTACTTCTGGGGAAGTTAGGTAAAGAAAAATTCTGAAGATTATCACAGAATCAGAATCACAGGATCTTCATGGTTGGAATGGACCTTTGAAATCGAGTCCAACAATAAAATAATAAAAAAAAAAACCACAAAAAATCTACCACAAACCCCACAAACAGACACAAACCAACAATCCCGGGCAGTAGAGCATGCCCTGAAGTGCCACCTCTACACGCTTCTTCAACACCTCCAGGGATGGTGACTCCACCACCTCCCTGGGCAGGCCGTTTCAGTGCCTGACCACCCTCTCAGGAAAGTCATTCTTCCCAATATCTGATCTAAACCTGCCCTGCCCCAACTTCAGACCATTCCCTCTGCTCCTGTCATTAATCCCTTGGAAAAGAAACTGAATAATCCCGCTGTTTTAAGACATTTTTTAATTGTTTAAAATGATCAATGATTGATCTTATCAACACTCAATCCACAAGTTATTCAAAGTCTGCATCATTAAGTACATTAGGCATGACCACAATCTCACATCACGTGGCCACAGCAGGAGAGCCCATCTCATTCCTCTCTCATTCCATTTTGCCGATGTACAGCTGTCATGGTTTGGGCCAGACTGGCCAACACTGCAGAGACCGAGCTGCTGGAGAACAAAGTTCCCATATAGTACATATAGTGATATATATATATAGAGAGAGAGCGCACATATAGTGCTATATGGGTGTTGCGCACATGGAGATTTTTATATAAAGTAAAATTCCAATGTGCAAAACATGGAGAATAACTTATTTGGCTTACCGTAAAGATATAAAGACATTTCATTCAAGTTTTGGTGGTTTGGGTTTTTGGTTTCTTTTGGTTTTTTGAGGGGTTTGTTGTGGTTTTTTTTTGTTAATGAGGAAGAAGCAGCACAGACAGAAGCCAGGCATCGCCCTGTTCCACGGTGCCGGGCTCCCACCACACTCACGGAATCGTGGCATTGTTGGAGTTGGAAGGGACCTTCTAGAGACCATCCAGTCCCACTCCCCGGCCAAAGCAGGGCTGCCCAGAGCACATCACTCAGGACTCCATCCAGGTGGGGCTTGAAGATCTCCAGAGAAGGGGACTCCACACCCTCCCTGGGCAGCCTCTGCCAGGGCTCTGCCACCGTCACCCCAAAGAAGCTTTTCCACTCTCCCTTCTCACCTGCCCAGCGGAAAATTCCCCCCCGGTGGCCCGGTGGGGGACAAAAAAAGGATCCCTCTCTCCAAAGGAGGGGGGAAACCACAGAGATTCTCCAGCCTCTGCCCATCACCCGCGCTGGGAGAGCCGGGCTGCCCCACCCCCGGCTCCGGGTAACGGGCTTGCATTAAACACTAGGATATATAGGGGGTTTTTACCGCCAAGCACCGCTGACCCCACGGTTCCCGGGACTCCGGGTGGCCGCGCTGAGGGAGGACCCCGGCTCGGCACAGACCGCTCTCCACCGGGGGCTGCCCGCCGCCTCCCGGCCCTCCCGCCGCCGCCGCCGC